ATTTCCTCTCGCTCTCGCGAACACCTGTGTTCCTCCCGCATAGAAAACGAGATCCCCTCACTGGCATCTGTCTCCCCTTAACTAGCATGTCTCCCTCACTCCGAGCGCGCCTCACTCATGCCCTGTGGTTAGCATGATTACGTTAATTTCTCTGTAGTTCTGTCTACCTATGAGTACTTAGTTCGTTTTCCTTTACTCTGTCGTAATGATTTCTGAATCTCCACGATGCTAAGTTCCAGTTCATTCATAATGAGCTATTTTTTCCAGGAAATTCTTCCTGCATTTTTGCATGTCTTCAGTAATTCTCTTAATAGGAAAATCCTTCCTGTATCCTAGCATGCAACTACCCTTCATTTTCGAAGATTAATCCAGCATTTTTGCACGCAACTACTCTCATTCCCCTGAAGAAATGTGTTCTATGATTTATCTACCCTCACTTTTACAAGTATATCTGTTGCCCTCTGATCTTGCACGTGAATTCTACAAACTATGACACGGAGAATCATTCCTTTATCTTGCATGGCTCTATAAACTCGCAATTTCCACGAGATTTTGTCCTACAATCTCGTTTGTTTGTTACTGCCTCCTATCTCTCAGGTAAATGTTGCAATTAACACCCTCTGTTCCCAATACTTGACACGTTGCTTCCAGTTATTTCCCTAATCACTATGAGTTCGTGTTGATATTGTAACTCCCTGAGATACTGAGATATGGCATTATGTCTTCTGTCGCCAAGACATGGTACTGTTGTTCCCGTCTGTTGTCCCCAGAGCCAGACGCCCGTGCTGAAACGCCACTGCTGACCTTGACTCTCGGATCACCACGTCGTCCCCTCGCCGCCGTGCCCTGACGCACAAGTTTCGCTCGCCCGTTAACGAGCCCATCTCACGGACGTCCTCGCCGCCGTATCACCTGCCGACGCTCCCATGTTCTCTACTGTACATCGCTGCAACTCCGGCCGTGTCCGCCGCCTTGTCCGCTGGTGACTACCGCCGAACGTCCTCACCGCCGCATCACCTGCCGACGCTCTCCTGTTCTCGCGTTGCTACTCCGGCCATGTCCGCCGCCCCGACCCGTCCGCTGGTGATCGCCGCCCACGTTCCTCGTGCATCTCGCTACGCTCACTCACCACACCCGCTGCCGTGCTGGTGACCTTGGCAAGAACTGTCCCTCCTTGCCTGCCGACCCTCGTGACGTCTTCACAATGTTGTTCCTCTCCCGAGATGACGAATCCTTCTCGCCGACGTGATCCTCAAGACCTCGCTCTCAAGATTCTCCGCTCAACCTTCGACTCTTCGACGATTACTGGTCTCCCAGAATCTTCTAGACCCGGTGTGCGTGTCATTTACGACTGACACGGCGCTTGACAAGTTAACTGTGTCTTCCAGTGATCCTGTGTGGAACGATTGACGAGCTCCGTGACTGATCATCACTGCCGCTCACGTCAAGACCACCTGCACCCCGAACAGTGACCTGTGCAAACAAGCACCCTAGGCCGCCGACCTTAGAAATACCTGTACGACCGTTCCTCCTCAACTGCACGATCGAGACTCCCTGTGTCTGTTACCTCCGTCACCTGTCACCTGTCATCTACCTGCATCGTTTACTCAAGAATCGAGGACGATTCTTTTCTAGTGGCCGAGCGATTTAGTGACCTGCTCCCCTCGTCGCTCACCCCTCGCATACCACGAAAGCCATGTGTTCTTATTTCACAAGTACTTCAACCTGCCCCGTGCCCGACATTGACGAAGTGACCGTAGAACACGATAATCTGACCCTTATTACTCTCATACATTTTCCATGCATTTATTCTGTTGTCTTCAAGTATAAATATGTCATGTTTATACTCAAAATGTTTCTTATGAAATGCTTATTCTGAATCACGATGTATGTAACTGATTTTACCATTGATATTCAAATGTTCTATGTTTCATGTATAGTCAGCCAGTCTGTCCCATAACCACAATGTTTGGATTGTAAAAACATACTGATATCATGTCAACCATACCCTTGTTCCTCTCTACGAAACGGTCTTGTGACCTAATATCTCTGAAATTATGTTCATCCATATTCTTTCATGTTTTTCCATTGTATATTGTCTCAAAACGAACTTCGTTCATGGCAATTCCTGTGCCATCTAAGCAGACCGCTCGCCCTCGCGGGCTCGGCAGGACGTGCTCCTCCCTGGGCACCTGCCTTGCCTCTGTACCAGTTACCCAGAATAAAGACAAGAAAACTGCGACAAGTTTAACTTCAGACCAACATCTTCAGAGTACGTCAGTACTTACTTACTACTGCCTTACCGCTCAGCCACGACCTACCAAACAACAACAAGTAATAATAGTGGGGGTGGGACGCCTCCTTCCTCCACTACATACATTACACACACACAGAGAGAGAGAGAGAGAGAGAGAGAGAGAGAGAGAGAGAGAGAGAGAGAGAGAGAGAGAGAGAGAGAGAGAGAGAGAGAGAGAGAGAGACAGAGAGAGAGAGAGAGAGA